AAAAAAAAAAAAAAAAAAAAAAAAAAAAAAAAAAAACGAACTAACTAACTATATATCGGGTGGTTAGATAAAAAATTAGCGATGGTCGAGTGGAAGGTGTATTAGGGACTAACTAAGTACACTTTACAAGGTTAGAGGTCAGCATATTGTTTGCTATGAAGCAAATTAATAGCTTGGCAGGGGTCTTTTTTTAAGTCTTAAAGCTACATGTAGGTCAAGAAAGCCCTTTGTGTCATGTGTGTTATTAAACTATCGAACTGAACGTTGATACACAGCAAATGCCAAAAACAAAAGCATGTTTGTCTCCATTTCAGTTAACTAACTTGTGTTCACAATAAAACACTCATAAATTGCAAAATAGGTCCTAAAAGGCACCTGCTTAAGATTACTCTAAAGAAAGGCAAATAAAATCAAACAGGCAAAGCCAGCAACGATAGTCCAAACATACCTCAGCTAAGCCTCCAGAGGTAACTTCTACCGAGAGAAACGTACGCGTACGATCATCATTGACGAAAACCTCCCACTTGTTAAAATCAATCCAATATCTGTCCCAAGAACATCAGTAATTAAATGAGTTGCAGTCTTAGAATCTGCTAATAAACATAATTGCCTAAGTAAGATTCTTCTAACCTCCTATGACCCTGCAGCCGCTGCCGGAGCATAGCCACCACCGAGTCACGTTGATGAACCCGAATCGGGACAGTCCTTCCCAAACTCACATGAAACTCGCTCCCAAACACAACTTGCTCAAACTTATGCTCTTCTTTAAGTATTTTACTCAAGGGGATATCTACATCGACAGCATGAAGCTCCCGTGCTAAAGATGCCACCTTTTTCACAAACAGGGCCAGCTCCTTTCTTTGTGCCAATGGAACAGTGACTAAAAGCACCAAAATCCAAAATAACTCTTTCAAGAAAAATAAAAAAAACATATCTTTCATGTTGAAAACTGAAACAAATAGCAAAAAACAGTACCAGGGATGTAAACATGCAAAGCAAAATTGCCCTCTACATGAGGGAAGCTACGGATTCGATTGGCATTTTTTATTTGTAGTGAGAAATCAGAACTGCCTGTCACGGTCAAAACATCAAACATTTGGCAGGCATGAGCCAAAAGAGAAGATGGGAGACAATCAAAACGTGTGAATAAAAGGGGCATGCGATACAATCACCTGATGTGTTCGGAGCATGGAGAAGAGAGATTGGAGGTGGAGGTAGAAGGGTGGGTGAATGGGTCGGTTCAGGTTCGCGGCTCGGCCGAGGAGGATCCGACTCGGTGTCGGAGTCGGATGACGTGTCGCCGTACGAGGTGATCAAGGCATCCATCTTACCAGTTGTTGATAGGTCGCGCGATAACTTCCGACAAAAATCCTATTATTTACAGGCGAAAGATGGGATTCAGCGGTCTGCTGACTAAAATCTGCAGCAGAAAGGTCGTATAATGTTGTTCTAATTTCCGTTGTCTCAAAATAAGCCCTAATTTTTTATTTTTTTTTTGGGTGGCATATTTCGCTTTTAAAATAAGTATATATTTTATCAAGAGTTGGCTCGTGTAAGCAGTTTGATGTCCCTGTGGATGCAGAAAACCTTTATTGGAAGACTCACCCGCCATTGTCAGGTGTGCGACCCGGGTCGACCAACAGATTAGTCGGGCATAGCTACATTGTGGCTGGTTACTAAAAAAAATAAGCATATATTTTTGTCTCTAAATATTATATCTTGGTAAAATTATCAGATAAATTAATTAAAACAAAAATCTCAATGAACTTATCAAAATGCTGGTTAGAGAAGCTTCAATGATTAGCTCAGGCCAACTTTTTTTGTTTTTTTTTTGAAAAAACCTAAAAATCACCATATCAAATTAAATTTATATAAATAAAATAAACTTATCATAATTGATTAACCAACAGTTGGATAACTACAGAGGCTCAGTGCCAAGTTGTGAACTGTAGCATGTGACTGCACGTCTGTTGGTTGGATGGGCCAGATAAAGTGGATTGAGGGCCAAGCTGTTATCTGTAGCCTGTGTGGGTTTTGATGGGCCAGATAAAGTGGATTCTCAAATCAATATAGGCCCATTAACGTCAAAAAAATATGAGGACTTAATTGATTATGGAATAATTTATCCAAAATAAGTTATTTTAGTTAACTATATTTAATTTTGAAAAAGGTATATAGTTAGTTGCTAGTGGAATTTAAAGAATGTATTAAAATAATATTTAAAATAAAATGATTAAAATTGTTTGATGTAAAAGTAAGAGATAAATGATTGGAAATGATACGTAGTTAAAATTATGTGAGTGGATGAATAGTGAATTAAAATTGATGTGATGTGTAAGAATGATTGATCTGTATTATTTAATTATATAAATAATATTAAAGATAGTGGGGTTGAGTTAAAGTTGAGTTAAATTTTAAGCTAAATAAAAGTGAGTAAAATAATTTGTAAACAATCAAGCCTTCAACCACCTGGCCACGCTACGTAGTAGTGCTGAAAACACGCTTGCCCGAATCCCAATAATGTATTATTTAATGCTTTTTATATTAATAATTTTATATATTAAAACATTACATATCTATATCTATATATATCTATAATCTATACTTATATTAAAATTCATTCTATTTACTAAAAATAGTAGGCAGAAAAGTCAAAGGTAATTAATGCATGCTATTTTCGTCAAGTATTTTATTTAATTATTTTATTTAATTATTTTATCCCATAACATAGGTTTAGTAAAAAATATCCCATAAAATCGGTTTTTTCACAAAATTGAACGTAAAACCAAAACAAAAGGCAAATTTCATCTGGCAGATTTGAAATTTAAATAACGTGAGACATTACCACATGATTCGTTTTTAAAATAATCTGGTGTATAGTTTATACAAATTTCGTATTATACAGACTCTTGAAATCATAGGAAAGTACGAATTATGTGGACTCTTGAAATCATTTTCGGTAGATAAGGATTTCGTCTATTTTATTTTCTAAATAAATGA